CTGGGACACCGCAGGCGGAAGGGTGAGATTTTAGCTCTGAGCTCTGACCTCTCGGCTTTCTCTTTTACATTGTTTCTGTGTTTCTTATTTAATAAGATGGTTAGTTACATCTACAGTTACATCATTGCCTGTCTCCAGGTCCTTTTCCACAGCATGTGCACCCTTAAAAGTGCCCGCCAGGCAGAGCTCGCTCCCTTGGTCTCTTCTCTCGCCTCTTGCTCCTCTCTTGGTCTCTAATTTCCTCTTGCCTCTCGTCTGCCTGCCTCTCTGAAGTCCCCACTCTGATGCAGCCTTTCACTGTTTTCAATTTGGCTCTCCCCCTCCCAATAAACCTCTTGCACTACCTCTGTCCTGTGTGGTGTGTTTATTTAGTGGCATACCTTGGCAGAGGCGACCAAAGGTACCTTTTTCACACTAGGACCTTATCTGCCTGCTCTACCCACAGCCGATCTGCTTTCTCATTCACTGACAGCTTCGCCTTCCATTCAGTACCAACTATTGAGTCTCTGGTGGGGCCACCTGCCTCTGACCATTCCCCTCAATGTGAGACTTCATTTCTCCAGCCCAGGCCTCTCCTCGCCTTCTGGCTTTTCTCAAAGTCCTGGTACCAGGCGACTTGTGTCTCTCTCCGGCTCTTAGCCCACGGCCCCTGTTCTTGTATGAAGACGTACTGAACGGCTTGTGCCCACTTAATCTGATCCTCCCTGGATCTCAGGGACACCAGAACATTCAGACCTTTGGATCTTCTTCTCTCTGCTTCATCCTTGGGAACTGGGTCATACACCTCCTCGTTCCCATTGGTATGTCTTTTGGAGACTCACTGACCATTCTTTGGACCAGGCAGTTGGGGAACTGAGAAAGAATTCTCCACTTTCTTTCTTTTTCATTGCTCCGAGATCTGCTTGTGTCTGTCTGCTCTTCCTCTCTAAAAGTTCTGTTTGCTGCAACATGTGAATCAGAGATGGAGAAGCCAGCTTTGTTCTGCTCAGAACACACCCATTCTCCCTTTCGATTTATCCACTCCTGTTTAATTCTGTGTGTATGTTTGTGTAACTATTAACAGCAACCACGTGGCTCTCTTCCATCTTGGCTGGTGACCTCATCACGATTCCTCGTGAGCTCCAGGGAGTCAACTTGGATCCACCTGAACAGCATCTTGCCAGGTCCAAGCAGCCCTGGACAGTTCCACAGAGGCTGGACAGTGAAGTGAAACAGCCAGCCACCCCAGGACATGGACAGCACCCTAGTTTTCTCAGGTGCCCCAAAGATGATCAATGCCCTTCAGGTCATCAGGAAGCAGTCTCAGGAACAAAGCATCCTCATCCCTGCCTTACCTGCTACCCCTTTCTAGCTCCTCACCTTTTTATAATAAACAAAAGGGAGGATGTTAGCATTTAGGCATCTGTATGGGCCTGCCCTTAGGGTCCTGACAGGATATATCCTCAGCTGCTGCTACTAAGAGCAGCCCCTGTGCGC